CTCTCTCTCTCTCTCTCTCTCTCTCTCTCTCTCTCTCTCTCTCTCTCAAAACAACTTTCTAGTAAAGTGTTTCCCCAGGGTCAGCACACAAGGGCCAATGCAACTATGGCCCAAGGAGGTAGGTTCCATCTTGAGCTGACAGCAGAATACTGTAGCCCTGTCCACACAGTATTGGTTTTGGAGTCATGAAGTCTTACACCATTTTTCCAAAGAGGACTGAAGCCAGGCAATGTATGGCATGGCTGGTGTTCCTGCCAAGAAGACAAAAGCCTAAGCCGCAAGGGAGACTCTGGATTGAGGAGATGCCAGGACCATGGGACCAAACTGCTGGCACGGAAGTGTGCTGGCCAAGAGAGTGGCTGTGCGTGCTGCAGGTAGCAGGACTGGAGCGTAGGCACGCCTAAGCCCTTTAGAGCCCAGTGATTTCATCGCAAGGCCCCAAAGTGGACATGGAACTGTAGGGCTTGGTGTTTCCCTGCTGGAGTTTGGTCTTAGAATGAAATGACCCTTTTACTCTTTAGAATGAGAATATTTACTCTGAGTCATCGTATGTTGAAGATAGGCAACTTGTTTTTTATTTCATAGGAGCACACGGGTAAGAGACTGCCTAGAGTTTCAGATAAGACTTAGATTTTGGACTTTTAAATAATATTTAAATTGTTTTTTAAAAGACTGTGGGGGTTTTTGAAGTCTGATTGAATGCATTTGAGATTGTCATGAGCCTGTGGGGGCAAGAGATTGAAATTTATGGGTTCAAAGTGATGCATTTGGGTGTCAGGTTGACAAGGGCTAGAGATGACGGCTAATCTTGGTGGCATTTAGACTCACCAAGGAATAGATTTCTGGACATGCTAGTGAGGGGTCATCTAGGTTAGGTTGATTAAATGTGAGCAGTACCATTCTATGGGTACCCAACCTGAATAAAAAAAGAGAAGTCAAGTTGATTACAAACAGTTATCTAACTGACCACAGTGTGACATATTATGACAAGTTGCCTCATGCTCTGTTGCCATACCTTCTATGCCATGATGGACTATGTGCCCAGGAAATAGAAGACAAAGTAAGTCCTTTCTTTTTAATTTTTCTTTTATTTCCTTCCTTTTATTTTGTCAGGTATTTTGTAATAGTAATAATAAATTACTAACAGAGCACACTAATTATAGTTCAATACATTATATAAAACAATTTTTTTAGGGATAGCATTAAAGTTAAAAACAGAGTGAAAATGATGCTCAGTATGCCTAACAGACATCCTGCTACTCTGTTTCTTTCAGGGTTTTGTCTTATTCTCTGTAAGTAGAGATCACTTCTGTTTGTCAATTCTCTATGTCAAAACATATGCTGAGCTCATTTCTCTCTGCCCCTGCATTAGTCTGCTCAGGCTTCCATAACAAAGTGTCATGGATTATATGCCTTAACAACTGAAATTTATGCTCTCACATTTGTGGAAGCCAGAACTGAAGAGACGCTATCTGTTCCTGGGGATCGGAGCTATTCTGGTACCCCCCCTTGCGTGGTCACTGACTTCTGGTATCTGCTCCTTGTTTCTAAGTCTTAATTATTTAATCTCCCATGGTTAGGGGAAGCCTCTATTATAAACATTTTTATTTTACTTGATGATTTTTGTATGTATAATTGCAAATTTTTCACATAATGTTTCAGAATTATATTTTAATTATTTTTCCAAGTCTCTATAATAAAATGTTACTCATCTCTCCAGTGATCTTTTCTATGCTCATGATCTTATCTGTTTTGAATTAGTTCCTCATGTTATATTCCCAACTGATATTAATGGACTAAATCATCCATCACTTTTATGAATGTTGATCTGATAACTTTCACTGTTACCTGTAGTGTGTAAATGTACAGACCCTACCACATGTTCACAAGTATTGGATAGTATTATTAAGGGAATATAGTGGTCCTTATCTTAGTGCAACAGGTCATTTGAAAACATCCTTTTAAACAGAACTAATAAACTAAAAATATTTGCAGAAATGAAAGGTGAATACTAGATTTTGGAAAGCAGACCTTGAAGTGCACTAAAACTTGTACTCAATGTTCAGTACAATATTTATGTTCACAGGTAGGCAGGTGTGAGCACTGGGATTCAGTATTAATAAGTAGGTGGAGTGCAAATTCTATGAAGGGAGAGATTAGCAAAGGGTTTGCTTCTCTTCCTGGGCTTTCCACGCAAGCCAAGTACTTGATGAGCTTAACACTGCTGGTAGAAATCAGTGTGGATGTTTCTAAAAGCAAACAACCAAAACCTACAAACAGACCTACCAGATACAGCAATAACACCCCTGATACTTACTGGGAGGACACTGACTCGACATATCACAGATATTCGCACATGACTGTTCACTGCAGCACTATTTACAATGGTGACATTGTAGAACCTATGTGTTCAGAATCAGAGAAGTGGACATGGAGAATGCAATGTATATACACAATGGAATCTTTTGCAGTTATGAAGTTATGCCATTTGTGGATGTTGGCGTGGCTCTCAGTTTAGAATGTTTGCCTCTATGCAATAGGTCCTGGGTTCGAGCTCTGTCATGGGATTAGAGACAGAAGCTAACATTTGTCAAATATTTCAGACTAGGTATGTAGCCAAGAGCTGTGCATGCAGTACTTAAGAAACTTTAATAACATTGTGATGTCCACACGATTAAGAGTCATGTACCATGACTACCAGGCGTAAGAGGTGGGGAGACCCTTTAGTCATATCACTCTGGTATTCTTAGAGCAGATTCCAGAGCCTGTGTCTATGCCTTGAACTCTACATAGCGGATTTCTGTGGCGGGAATATGCCCGCCATGTCATTCCCCTCCCCCATGTACTCATGAGAGTATCCTGTTCTGGCCTCTTAGACTGCTTCTCTTCCACACTTTCTCTTGTAGAAGTCATTCTGAGAATAGTGCTTTCTGACCAGTTCATCTTACTCCCTGGTGACCTAGCCTCTCGAAATCTTCCAGTTTACAGAGAAGAAATGCAGGTGTCCTGGAAAAGGGAGAACTGGAGGAGGGAGAAGAGAAGGTGGACCAAAACTAAGCTGGAGAGGAGATAAAATGACTGTAGATGCCTTGCCGTTGGCGTATTCGACCAGTGGCTGAGAGAAAACTGTCATGAGCCCTGGTGGGGGAGGGGCAAAAGCAGCAGATCTCCAGTTATAACTAAGTGGTCACTCAGCCTCCAGTTCCTGCTTTATGTGATAGATGAGTCTGTTTCCCTTTGGCATAGGGATGCATGAATACCGCTGTGGAATAAGCACCAAGGGGTTAAGCCCGGTGCACTAGCTCCAGCATATGCCCACCAATTCCCACAACGACTCTGGGACTTGTGCCTCTATACCTCCCATGGAGCAAGCTCACAGGCCAAACCTGCCTAACACCTGCTTTCGTATGGCACGTGTGCTAAGAACTATCATTATGTACTTTAAATGGTCTAGAATGTAAAAGAAGAATATTGAGTGATATATGAAAATTAGGCCTAATTCTAATTTTGGTATCCATAAAGTTTTATTGGAAGATGGCTCTGCCCATTCGTTTGCATGTGACCTCCAGTTTGTTTCCCTCTGATGACTGTGTCTGTATAACATGAAAAGCTGAAAAAACATGACCTAGTTTTTTTCCTAGGCCTCCCCCCATCACTACAGAAGGGTACCCAAGTCAGTGATTTACAAAAAAAAAAGCAAGGAAGTCTCTTTGGAATCACAGTTCTGAAGGCTTGGAATTCCAAGACCAAGACCCATATCTGATGCTGGTTTTTCTGCCACTTCACAGTGTGCAGATGTTAAAAGAGCAAACAGGTGCAGGGGGTTGCAATAACGCAAGGAGCAGCCTTGCTTGATGGCAATCTATTGTCACAAAATCACACACAGTGAGAAAGCATTGATCCCTCCTAATGAGCTAATCATCCCCTAAAGGAGAATTCAATCAAATCCTAACAATAGTCTCACAGGAGACCAAACATACCCCCAATTATAGCACCCCAGGTATGAACAAAGATCACAAGGCCCAGACGGACTGAAAATTTCACTTACTTGTAACGACCCAAAAAAGACTGTTAACCAAGCTGGCTCCCTGAGTGTCCACACTCCTGCTTCTGGGAAGGAGAAGCAGCTGGATGTCGTTGAGTTCAATGTCATTCTGGTCTGTGCTAATGATAATTGACAGTGAGCACACATTGCTTCTGTTCTTCTAAAGGTGCATCCTTCAAACCCCAATTGCTCTGCTAAGTCCACCCCTCTAGTACATGCGATATGTCCCAAAGAAATGAGATTCAGGAAAGCCTTTTTTGCTTCACTGAGTTTCTGTGAATCCTGGGTCTTTTTATGGTATAATTGGAAGCATGAACACTCCAGGAAGGCATGGGACTCACAGAATCATTACGTGAAATCATCTCTTAAACTGTCCTAAGTAAAAGGCAAGTTAAAGTCACATTTTCCTTTCAGTATAAAAGCACAAATTAACGTCAAGATACATGTGTGTAAAGTTCTTCCCCGTTTCCTGAAAGCCTGCAAGTGATAATCCAGAGAGGCTGAGTCTGTTTGATGAGGTGGACACAGGCTAGGTGTGTAGCGGGTTTTAAAAAACCAGGGGAATGTCACCAAGAGTTATCCAGAGAGGCTGAGTCTGTTTGATGAGGTGGACACAGGCTAGGTGTGTAGCAGGTTTTAAAAAACCAAGGGAATGTCACCAAGAGTTAGGGACAAATCTCCAGACAACACATGGCCGACTTTCTGCAGGACTGTGTCAGAAGAAACTTACTATTTATGCATCAGCTAATCTCAGGTAAGGGTCCACTCTGTCCCAGCAAGGACTCACAAGGCACACACAAGACAGGCAAGGTGCTGCTCTTCAGCCACAGACGTCATCAGGCAGGAGACAACCCAACACAGTTGGTGATGAGTCTAGGAGGCAAACACAAACCACAGCAAAGGTTAGTAGGCTCGCTCGGAGTGACCAAAGAAGGCTCTCGCAGTGGCTCTTTGAAGGAAAGCAAGTCTACCTCAAAGGAAGAGATTCCAAGCAGAGGGAAGACTGGTGGGGAAAAACTTAGTACAGATTTAGGAGTGTCTGAGAACAGAAGAGATGAGGGAGTGCTAGAGCCGGTATAGGGTAAAAGGAAGGAACCAGAGGAGGTGAGACCTTTGTGGTCAAGAGGCCATTGATCTAATTTCATTCTCAGGTAGGGGTGGTAGGTGGAACAGTGTCTCCCAAAAGATAGACTGAGGCCTAACATTTGGTGCTCTTGAGCGGGAGTTTATTGAGGTGGAGGCATCTCCCTTCCTCCTCTTCCCTCCCTCTCTCTCTCTGTCTCTGTCTCTCTATTATTTTCTCTCTCTCTCTCTCTCTCTCTCTCTCTCTCTCTCTCTCTCTCTCTGAGGGTGGTTAGAGATAGTTTCTCTGTGTGTAACCCTGGCTGTACTGGAACTCGTTGCTTTGTAGAGCAGACTGGCCTCAAACTCACAGAGATCTCTCACAATGCCTGTCTCTGCATTGCTGGTATTAAAGATGTGTGCCACCACATCAGGCAGTGAAGGGGAGATCTTTCAAGAGTATCATTAAGCTGAGATGAAGGCCTACTGCAATATCATGGGCCCTAATTCACTGGCTGGTGTCCTTGAAAGAAGAGAGTACACAGCAGATTCTCACGGGGACGAGCACTATGAAACAACAGGAGCCGAGATAAGAGTGATGCAGCTACACACCACAGAATGCCAAGTGTTTGCACAACCACTAGAAACTGGACAAGACAGGGAAAGATCTACACAGGAGCATGGCCATGAAGATTCCTTGATTTGAGACTCACACCCCGATACCTCAAAAAATATTACTATTGTTTTAAGAACATCCCATGTTCTTCCTCCTTCTGCTCCTCATTTGGACCATGGGGGGCTCAGTCTGGTGGTCCAATGTGGGTCTCCGTCTGTATCGCTATCCATCGTCGGATGAAGGATCTATGGTGATAAGCAAAATCTTCATCAGTATGGTTATAGGCCAAGGCTGGTTCAGGCACCCTCTCCTCTGTCCAGAGAACAATCTGGGGATCTCTCCTTGGACCTGGGATCCCATTTATAATCAAGTCTCTTGTAAACCCTAAAATGACTCCCTTAGTTGAGATATATTCGTCCCTGATCCCATATCCATCCTTCCTCCCTCCCACCATCTCAGTCCCCCGAGTTTTCCCCATTCCTTCCCTACTCCGTTCTCTCTAACCCTCTCCCCTTCCAACAACCCTCCCACCCACCCCCCCATGCACCCGAGATTACCTGGGACTCTTGTCTATTTCCAATCTCCAGGAGGATAAGTACATGATTTTCTTCAGGTTCACCTTCTTATTTAGCTTCTCTAGGATCTCGAATAATAGGCTCAAAGACCTTTAATTATGGCTAGAATCCACTTATGAGTGGATACATACCATATTCCTCTTTTTGGGTCTGGCTTACCTCACTCAGTAAAGCGTTTTCTATGTCCATCCATTTGCATGCAAAATTCAAGATGTCATTGTTTTCTACCGCTGAGTAAAACTCTAGTGTATATATGTTCCACACCTTCTTTAACCATTCTTCTATTGAGGGGCACCTAGGTTGTTTCCAGGTTCTGGCTATTACAAATAGTGCTGCTATGAACATAGTTGAAAAAATGCTTTTGTGGTATGATAGGGCATCTCTTGGGTATATTCCCAAGAGTGGAATTGCTGGGTCTTGAGGGAGGCTGACTCCCAGTTTCCTGAGAAACCGCCACACTGATTTCCACAGTGGCTGCACAGGACCGCGAGGGGTGCGATCACCCACTGATACAAGGGGACTGATCTAATGAGAGTTCACCAAGGCCAGTTGGACTGGGACTGAACGAGCATGTGATCCAACCAGATTTTCTGAATGTGGCCGGATTCTCTGAATGTGGCTGGCCCGGAGCCTTTCTGAAAAGCCATTGACAATGACACTGGGACTTGTTTCCTCTGCATATACTGGATTTTTGGGATCCAGTCTGTTCGGATACTCACCTTCCTGGACCTGGAGGGAGGGGGGAGGAACTTGAACTTCCCACAGGGCTGGAAGCCCTGACTGCTCTTAGGGATGGAGAGGGAGGAGGAGGGGGAGGGGGAGAGTGGGAGGGTGTTGGGAGGAGGGGCGGAAATGGAAACTTTCATAATTTAATAAACTTTGAAAAAAAAAAAAGAACACCCCAGCTTGTGTGAGGGCTGTTCCTTGTCATCGGTGAAGCACTGATTCCAGGACCCTGTTGATTCAGAACCTAAAGGAACACACACACACACACACACACACACACACACACACACACACACACTAACTCAATCAATCAATAAAAGAGAATTTCTAAACTTAGTTTCAAAGTAGTTCTAAGCCATAGTAGTTGAATCTGTAGGCATGGAATCTGTAGATACAGAAGGCATACTATAATTTGTCTTAGCCCCCTAAGAAACTAACATGTAAGTCATCCTCAAGTGTTGAAACAGAAGTGTGTCTGGCTGAAACTGTGAAAGAAGCTCTGGCTCCTAGGTTGAAAGCTGACAATAATAAACAAATAATAGGAACTAAAGAACAGCCAAGCCCATTACGGAGAATACAGAAGAGAGAAGGCAGTAAACAGCATCATGGAGCTGGACTCCCATTTTTAGGTTGAGCGCCTTCAGGGACAGCCAAGCATGATATAAGAAAGACCCACCTATGTACCTGGAGGACTCAGGCGAAGACAGCCTATTGTAATTGCAGTCCCTGACTTAACAGGCATCCTTCAGCTAGTCACCCAATATATAACTCTCTGGAGAAAACCCTCCCAAGGGAAGAATTAGTAATTTTCAACTTTTCTGCATCCACAACTATTTTTATAGATGGACTTGTGGAGCGCCAACGACCCTTTGACTGCTGAGTAACATGGATGGAGTGAACCGAGAAGGTGAATATATGCTCGAAACAGACGTCGCCAATGAGTCAAGTTTGTTTTCATTTAATTTCTTCTAACAATTTTGCTGGAATCAATTCATTGCATGTATTAAAAATACATGTATTACAATATTTCATCCTGAAATGTACCAGTGGTCAGAAATCTACAGACCACTCTACCTCCTACATAGGGTGAGAAAATTTTGATTCTTCTGACTTGGAATCAGTGACGACAACCACCAGTGAACAACCTCGCAGCTGACCAGTGTTCCTTCACACTAAAAAACGGGGCTACCTGGCTACCTCCCTAGCAGGGCACAAATCTTCCCACCAGGTCTCTATGCCACTCTTTCTTTAAAAATAAAAATTTTAAAGCTACCATTGTGGCCATGATGGAGAGATTTACAGATGTTTCGATGAAACTCTTCATTTGGACTTTATGCAGCAAAGTACATATTGACTTTGTGTCACTGAAAACACTAAGATTTATTATTCCTGAAGATAAGTAATAACCTTGACTTTGACTTGGTCAATATTTATCTCGCAAGTCGATAAATCTCCAGCAATAAATTTCAACAAAAGCCAACACTTTCTGATACAGGGCTGTATTCTGCAGAGGCCCCCCAAACTTTTCTGTTCTTTCTCACAGAGAGAGTAGTCAAACCTGAGAAAGTATTCTCAGACATATTTTATTTTTAGTGAGTTCAGTCCCATTATGACAGCAGAGTTTTATCCAAATAACTTAATGTGGGTGGGAAAATTACAGACTCTGGATCTTTTTTGTCTTCCTTTCAATACTTCAACCAATGAATCTTCTCCTCAGTCCAGGTCTTTCTAAAGCTGATCCCAATGCTAACATGAGACATTGGCCAGAGCAGGCTAAGGGACAGGCCTGTCTGCAAATAAAGGTGATATGTGATACTGGTCATTTGTGTGCCTGTCAGTGAAGGCATTATCTAAGCTGCCCTATTATATTTTAACAGTGAGTGACCTCATACTAACTTCGCAGAAGCTCAAAATCTCTTTTTAGTGTTTGTTGGTCAAATAGTCTGTCACCTTTTAAAACGGCAGTGCATGTGTGAGCAGCCAAAGCGGTTTTCCCATCTAACAGGACGTGACACGATGTTGGTAGCCCCAAACGCCTCCGCTTCTACATCCTCAAAGGCCTCTTCCTATTTAGTGTTACAGCCAATCCCCTTTCTTTCATAATCTTTGGGATCTGTGGTCTAGTCTATAAAACAAAAAATATGTGTCTATTTACACACACACACACACACACACACACACACACACACGATACTGGGTAATTTATAAAGAACGGGAACTATTGCTTTCGCTTCATGGTTCTAAAGGACAGAAAACACAAAAGCATGGCCCTGGGATCTGCTCCATTGCTGAGGAGGGCATTCCTGCTGCGTTATAATGTAACAGGGGACTTGTCATGGAAAGAAAGACAGAGCAAGGAGGCTACTTTGGGTCTCTCTTACTCATTTTTATAAAGCAACTAAGGACATCATGGGAACTGCACCCTCATGACTTCTGATGCTCATTGCCTCCCAGAGGCCCCACTTCCAAACACATGAACATATAAAACTGTAGATTAGGCTTCCAACGCATTGCATTGGAGGACATAATCAAGCCAAATCAACAGGTGGACAGTTTTTCAGCATGTATGCACCAACACTTCTGGGTATTCAGTATCTCTTCTCCTTAGAGGAGAGCGAACACGGTGGTGCTTACTTTCTTCGTGACACAGTTAACCTGAGACCAAGGGAGCTGATTCATAGAGAGGATTCTTTCGCTTGAATCTATAATAGTCCCTTCCCTGCCTATCAAAGACCCATTCCAACATGTTGACAGATGAATCTGTTAAGGTCTTTACCACCCGAAAATTTCTACCCAATTAAAATTTAGGCAGGTAATACTGAGCTGCATTTTATGCAGATTTTCACCTATCAAGCAGGTCTTATTGCTACTATTTATTTGATTGTGTTGTGTTTTATTTGAGACTAGGTTTATTTACTCGATGTACTTATTTAGTAAAACTTCTAGAGAGCTAAATCACAGATGGAATATTCGGAAAAATCGAATATATACTTTTAGATTATGTCAAAATGATTGCAGTCAATCAAATTAGTAACCTCCCAATAATAGAATACTGTCTTTTTAATATTTATATTGAGATGATGTTACAGATCAAAGTGAGGATTTTGGAGCCAGACTGTCTGGAGTTGGATCCAATCTCTCCTACATACCAACTGTGTCACTTTGGGCAAAGTAATTATCTCTTTGTGCATATTTCCTCACAAGTTAAACTGAGATCTCTAGTTGTAGAGATCCCATAAGATTGTTATGAGAATTAATCTATTTGATATTTGAAAAGTGCTTAGAATAATATCTGGCTTTCAGTAAGTGATAAATACATAACACTGGTATTTTATAATGAGAGTGAGATTTTAAACTAAACTTATACTGTTAATCACTTCACATATACTAGTAACTCTAATTATAACAATTTCCAAGACATATATTATTTTACAAATTTAAAAAAATTTAAAAAAAAAAAAGAACAGAGCCAGCAGAGCAAGTGATTTGCCTGAGATGGCTTAGTAAGTCCTAAGAACTTGGCTTTGAGTATAAAAATACTGGTTGAACTTTCATGGTAGCATCCTAAGATGCGAATGGCACTTGGACTGAGCACTCCTACATGTCTTCCATTTCCGTGTGTCGCTGCAATGACTTGCAACAATTCCTTGAGTTTGTTTGTTACGATTTCATCACAGGGAACTGGGGTCTCAGGACACTGAAGGCATCAAGTCCCCTGGAGCTGCAGTTACAGGTGGCTGGGACCACTCAATGCCTGTCCTGGGAAACAAGCCCAGATTCAGTGCAAGAGCAGCAGGTGCTCTTCACTGCTGAGGCACCTTTCTAGCCCTTGGTCCTAGGTTTAATCTGTCTTTTGTGACTAAAATTGTTCACTTTCTATCCCACAAACTACACCCACACGTGACTATAAACTCTGATGGCTTTCACACTGCTAT